TTGTAACTTTTAAATTTAATAAAAAAAATATTTTTGTTTAATTTCTTTTTTTTTATGGCACAAGCATTTCTTCCCATATGTAGTGCAATGTAATTAGAATTTCAAATTTGTTACTTATGTATAAACTGAAATAATTATTTTTACTAACATTGATTTAGCTTTAAAAATCTTAACCACCTCCAAGCGGCCTCGATCGTGCGATTTCAGAACCAGAACTAGTAGTCTTCACGCCGACATTTGTAAGAAAAGCAATTAATTGCGTTGAATGAAACCTTGAATTTGGACGAAACAAAATAAATATTAAACCGGCTGATTGTCGACGCGCGCAAAAAGATAGGAGTTGGCCATGTTTTTGCTTCGCACTGCAACTGAAACGATCTATAAGACATGCTTTGTGCATTTTCATACATTTCACCTTATCTGTCAAAGCGAATCTGTCAGGCAACGCGAAGAAAAAGTTTTATCTGACATCGCCTTCAACATTTAATGCATGAATCTTGTAAGGAATACAAGTTGTGTGACACAACCCCTATTTTGCACCTGCCTAAGCCTTATAGGTCATATAAAAATTGCTTAATAATCCCTTACAATAAGGCATCCCTTGGAGTATATTTACCTTATATAAGCCTTATATATCATGTAAAATAAACGCTGCAAACTGCGCCGCCAGCGAATTCCCTATTTCTTACAACTTACATATATAATTTTTGGTGGGTATGTGTGTACGTACATATGTATGTAGGTACTCGTATGCATGCGCGTTCTTTTTCCCCCTTCTCTATACTATATCTTCCTTCTTATTCATGTAACATTTTCAGTTTTAAAAATTTCACTAAAATTTACAAATTTTTGCGATACCGCCGCCTAAGAAGTTTTACTTAAAAAAATTGTTCAGTAGCACCAATTCTTGCAACCGAAAAAATTTAATGGCGTTTTATCCCGCCGGCAAGTCCTATTTAGTTTTTACTCTGTTTTCCGAGAGTAATTTTCTGTTTGACATTTTTACAGGATTTTAAACGAAAAGTATTGGATCAGAGCTTATAGGAAACCGCATAAAGCGAACGGTAGATTAGCGCGAATCTGACGTTGCGAATTTTCTGAGCCAAAACCTACAACAATGCTACCTATATATTTTAATGAGTGCGCTAGGCACACTTGCACGCTTCCTACACTGTGAATTTTTCGAGCATTCAATGTTCTTCTCTTCGAACGCAT